TGCCCCCTTTTCTCCCCACTCTTCCCCGGCAGGTCGATCAGATGTTCGCAGCCTTCCCTCCAGACATGTCTGGCAATCTGGATTACAAAAACGTCGTCCACGTCATTATGCACGGCAAAGAGAAGGACTAGCCCGTGCTCGGCGCTGGGGCTGGCATGGCAAAAGCACGGGGCAGGGGGGGTCCCTTTGCCTCTCCCCGTGGGGAACACATGAACGGCATCCACATTAAACTGCCTTTTGGCGAGAGGAAATCCAGCCGCTGGTGCAAGCGGTGCTTGGGCTCACGTGGTGTGTCTGTGCGGTGCGCTTGTGCCCAGCAGGAGCCCCCAGACCCATCCCAGACCCCGCTGTCCCCCATCTCCCAGCCCCACTGCACATCACCCCCACATGCCCTTGAATCCCTCTCCCCCACCATCTCCCAGCCTGGCCCAGCTCCCAGCCCCAAACAGCCCATTTCGCACTGGGCTGTGGCTAGTAGCCACCTGGTCCCACCTGCCCAGGATCAGCACTGGGCTCGGCTTTACTTTAGGTGACAGAGAGCTGCCTGCTCACCCCAGCTTAGCAGGGAACACCCAGCAAGCGTGCTCACCCTCCCTGCATCCCCCCATACCCTTCCTGGGCATGCTGGAGGACCAGGATGGTGGTCCTGGTCTCCTCCCCCGTAGCCACATGGTGACTGGCCGTGGGAATCACGTTGGGTTGTGCAACGGGGACGGCACCCCACCAGAGAGCAGCTGTTCCCACCTCCAACCACTGTCAGCCATGCCGAAATATCAGCCGGCGAGCTTTGGAAGCCTGCAGAAGGTGTTGGGCTCCTTCCATAGGAGAAGGGAGATGGAACCATGTCCAGGGCGCAGAAGCAGAGGAGGAGCTCAAGAGCGAAACAGTTTATTTGACGAATCCCTCCAGGCTCTCACACCACGATGCTGTTCCTCCCCTTCCTGCCTGTGCTGGCGGCGTCGCCCCGCTCCCGGTGGCTCTGGAGAACCAGCTGGCGCAGCTCCCCGTGGTCCAGCGGCGCTTCCACTGCCCAAGAAAATGGCCACCCCCTCACACACCGGCCTTATCTACCCGCTGGGGAGGGGCAGGCTGGCTGGGATTGGCTGGGGAGGACAGGTGGCAGCGGGGGATTGGCTGGGCAGCCAGGGGGGAGCTGCTGATTCGCTGGTTGTGTGCTCAGAGCCCCTCCCTCCCGCCTCCCACACTCACAGGCATCGATGGCGTCCATGGTGCTGTCCAGGGCGGGGGGCGGCAGGCAGAGCTGGGCCGGATCCATGGCCCGGATGAGCCCGGTGCCGCCCAGCAGCGGGTTGTCGAGGGGCTGGTCCGCCTCCAAGGCCACGGCCGCGGTGTAGCGCAGGATGGACTCCTGCAGCAGCAGCTCGTTGGCCTTCTTCTCCACCAGACCTGGGTGGGAGGGAGCGCCGTCGGCCAGGGCCCTGCACCAGGCCCCTGCCCACACCCACCCTGGCTGTGCACAGAGTGCGGGGTCGTGCCAGGGAACCATGGGACTCCAAAGATTTCCCCAAAACACTGCCATCGAGCAGCCCACCTCCCCCGGAGCGAGGGTCCCCAGGCTGCGGCCCACACCCAAAGCCAAGGTGAGGGCTTGGGGATCCACGGGAGTCCTGAATTGGTTGGGAATTTGGCACTTCCAAATTCACACAAGGGACACCCGCGCATGAGGGGAGATTTAGATTAGAAATGAGGAAGAAATTTTTCACCGTGAGGGTGGTGAGACACTGGAACAGGTTGCCCATGGAAGCTGCGGATG